TTGAATGAAAGGATAGATAGATTTGTTCAAGAGGACTCTATAACAATAAACATTCTGAGCGAATTTGACAACTTTGTCCTAACACGTTGTAAAGATAGATAGATAGATAGATAGATAGATAGATAGATAGATAGATAGATAGATAGTCTATTTGATAAATTTATTTTAGACAGGATTTATTTTGACTCCGATTAATTTTCCAGTTAATTACCCACCAGAGTTGAAGGCTTTTCACTCTGGCATCGAATCAGAAACTTTCTGTATCCAAAGAAATAGGTGAAGCTGTGATAACGAACATCACTTAACCAACTGCAAGAAGAAAACACGTGACCTCTCAGTTTGAGTTACTTTCTAAACATCTGTTGTTTTCAAAGGTATAATGAAAATGTCGATATTATTATGAAACTCATTCGTATAAAAATAAGTTAGAAAAGCGCCACTAATTAAAGAAAAAATGACCAACAAAAACTGGATATAACTTTCATAACTATCCAAGCACAATAACTCTACCCTCTCCGATATGTGAGAGAGGGGCTAGGGAGGCTGTTATTACGCTTGGACAGATTTGAAAGTTATATTCAATTACACACACACACACACACACACACACACACACACACACACACACACACACACACACACACACACACACACACACACACACGAGTCTGTTCATATCTATCACGCTCTTTTCATTTCTGTGTACCTCTAGTTTATATATCTGTCTACACTATGTTCATTTCTATCTATCTATCTATCTATCTATCTATCTATCTATCTATCTATCTATCACATATATTTTGCAAAATAAAAATAAAAAACAGGGTACATGTAAAATAAACGAGAAAATGGTAATTGTGAAAATAAAAGCCTTTGGAATTTCATTAATTTTTAATTCCCTGTAAATCAAATTTTACCCAATCTAAACTTTATCTACAGCTATTTTCTCAGCCTTAAGGCTATAAAAGCTTCTCTTTTTTGTCAAAATTATTTTAACATTATTGAAATAATAAAATCTTTTTTGACATATACCAAATAGTTGTTCATTTTACAACTTTTTCTTTAAAAAAAATATCATTAATCATTCTATCACGTTGGATTCCATTTTTGTTGAAACAAAAATATCATCATCATGTGTATTTTCAAAGGATAAAGAAAGATTCCATAAACCCTTACAAAATACATATTTGGTAATTTGCTCAGATTTTGAGGAGTCGAGAACTTTTCAGCACAACCTTCTCTGTATATATATGTATATATATATATATATATATATATATATATATGTTTGTATGTATGTATGTATATAATGCATGTCTGTACATCTATAATACATGTATTTAAAAGACATATTCTACATGTAGAATTATGATATTCACATTCATTATTCATTAAGTAAAACGCAATCTTTTTCTGCGCGTCAAAAATTTCACAAGTGTCTCTGAGCTAATCGCTGAAATAAGCCCGCACTTGCTTTACAAGTGGAAGCATTTTGTCATTATTTACATTCGAAATTGTAATATTTCCTGGGAAAATTAAATAATGATATTTAATTTCGTCAGTCGCTTTCCTAATCAAGTTTATGAAGAATTATTGTCAAATTCAGGAAGCGTTTAGCATCGTATAATTGGGACAGGTTTCGTTTCTCTTTTTTTATCTTTCGTTTTAATTTTTTTTTTTTCGTTTTGTTGTCTGTTTCTCTAAACTTTTATAGCGAATTTAGAACTTACGTCAGATTTTTAAAAAGCAAATACACCCTTTTTAGTGTCTGCTAACAGTGTGATAAGGAACCAGAGGAACATTTTAGCTGGTTTTAAAGGAAGTAAGCACACAAAATAATTACATTAGCATCAATTAACAAAAGACAGCGGCTTTTAGAAAGATTTTCTCGCTAGAAATTGGCATTTTTGAAGGTCTGACTTAATTATTTCTGCTTTATTTTATTATTTAGAAATTATATTTGTGTAGGTAATAAAAATAACAATTCTTAAACTTAGATCTAAGCTAACTTGTCTAGTTTGATGTTATCGTCATCATAATCATTTTCATTAAATTCATTTTACATTTTCTTTTTTTTAATGATTTTTTGAGAGTTCACATTAGTAATAAAGAAGTTCACGAAGGTTGTATTTTTTAGCATTTGTATGCAGATTTAATGTTTTTAATCAAAAACTCAGAAAGCCATCATCATCAACATCATCATCATTATTTTCTTCTTTGCTATTCTTTTTCTTGAAATAATCATTTGTGCTATTTTTTGTCGACCATCATCACATTTCCCAAATTGTTGTCATCATCGTCATCATCATCAGCTTTCCTTTCTTATCATCCTTATCTTTTCATCATCATTATTGTCATCATCTTTCCTTTCATATTATCTTCATCGTCGTTATCATTATCATCAACATCTTTATTTTTTCATCATCACACCTTTCCTTTCTCATCATCACCATCATCATCTTTCCTGTCGTCTTCATCATCATCATCATCATCATCATCATCATCTTTGTTATCATCATCTCCACTATCATAGGTAGTTTTTAGTTACATTTTACCCTCAAACGCATTTACCTGGACATCTTTTACACCTGAATATTGTTTCCATATTCTGTTGAATAATAACTCCAATATTTAAGCACATTTTTTGTTCATCAATTTCACACAAAGCATAATTCATCATCATAATTCTGAATTCTTTAGCATTGCGTTCAAATCACAAAAGAAAAAAACAAACTGTATTATTTTAAGAATGGTCATAATTTATAATTGAATAATAAACAGCTAAGTCTTCACAATTTTCCTAGAAATGTTGTTTTTATACAGATGCTATTCGCGTCGCCGTTTTTAATATTAATTGATGCTAGGACTATTTTTATTGTCTTTTATTAAACAGTTGAGTTGTGGGGTCACTTCTTTTTACTGTGACCGAACACCACTACAGGGAGATGAAAAAATGTATAGAAACGTCAACGCAAAATCTAGGCACGTTATATTACTTTACAGATTATTATAACTACCGAACTTGAAAGAAATTTAGCTAATCAATCTCACAGTCTTTCTCAAACGCCCTTCTTGAGGTACACCAGGAGGGGTTTTATCAGTACTGAAAATTATTCCTGGTGTCATTTTTGAGAAAGGAGGCATCTAAAAAAATATTAACGCAAATATTTACAAAAAAAAAAACAGTTTATTGTGTGTGTGTGTGTGTGTGTGTGTGTACTAGTATAGTATCCGTAAAAATGATAAGATCGTTAAAGAATGGATCAGCATTGCTATATTCGATCAGAGTAGAATCCGGACAGGATTTTCCCTGCACTTCTAGAAACAGAGTGTAGTATCAGTTCGTTATTGTATATTGAGAAAGATTTTTACAGAATTTCTCTCTCTCTCTCTCTCTCTCCCTGTCTGTCTGTGTCTGTCTGTCTGTTTCTTTACCCATCTCTCTCCCTCTCCCCCCCTCTCTCTCTCTCTCTCTCTCTCTCTCTCTCTATATATATATATATATATATATATATATATATATATATATAACCGTCGCTATTTTTTGTCATAATTTGTATAAGTAATGTGATTCCATTTTAAATATTTCAGGTAAACTTCGAAAATGTTTATCGGTTTTAACTTTTAAAATTTGAAAACATGTTCCTAGAATAAACGTCAAGTATCTTTGCTTAAATTCTTTTCAATACTTTCTAATCACCGCTAGGAAAAATGATTATTTTACGAAGATTATCTAAAATGTCGTCGAGTTTGTGTTGTGAAAAATGTTTGAAAAATAGTCCATTCATTTTTCCTGTATTTCAACCGCAGAAATTCTTTTTGTCAACTAATTTTAAAGCGCGTCGTTCACTTCCCGGGACAAAATTTGTTATGAAAAAATGTATCTAAATAATTAAATTGATTATTCAGTAATTTAATTTGTAATGGTAAAATTATTTGCTGAATATTTCATTTTATTAAATAACATGTTTTATGTTTTTATAAAAATATTAATTTTAAATAAAATTAAACAAAATAAGGATCTTTTCTGTTAATAGTTAATTCAATCCAAAATAAAAAGAATTTTTACTAAAATTCACACCAAATTTTCCGAAGGCGAGGCCCTTCCATTGCACTCCGGTTGGGATAACCTTTTCGATCGCCCCAAATGAGGGCGACTTGAGTGCGCTATTTGTAAGTGTGGGGTCTACGTTCGCGTTCACCCCGATAAAGAAGCAAAAAAGACTGATTTTATTTCTTCTTTTTTAAATTGTAAAAATTATTTGTAAGTATCTCGAATATCATCCGTACTTACGAAATATAAATAACTCACTGGTTATTTGGTATTTTTTCATTCTGAGGGTTGAAATTGCTACAAGGCAGCTAAACAAATTTTGATTCATAATATCAAAAGAGTGCCAAAAATTTAATAAAAAGAAACTATTATTTAAAATTATAATGCTAAAAAAAGAGTGCCAAACATTTTTAAAAAAAAAACTGATGAACTTTGTGGTGAATATTTGCGATAAGTAACTTTACATTTTGGGGTGAATTAATAGAGAAGATCCATTTTATTTTTCTATAAAAATAACAATTTTAAATAAAATTAAACAAAATAAAATTAGTTTCTATTTAAATGGGAATTGTAGCCTCTTCTTGTATCACTGACATCAATCATTTCTTATTTGTTTAGAGCACAAATTTAAAAATCATTTCAAAAACAAAGGAACATTGTAAGATCAAAAAGTGTTCAGAGAATTACGACTTGAAGATTTATTTAATTTAACTCAAATCAGTGATCACTAAAAAGTCGAATGTCTTTTTACGACTTAAGAAAAAGATAGTTTTTTAGCTAACTAACCTTTCGTTATTAGTGAAAATTCATTTTTTGTGAATGTAAAGTCCTATCTTAACTAAAACGTCATCTTTAGAAAAAATAGTTTCTAATAATTTTATGAAGCTGAAAGCACATTGCAAACATTTATGCAAACCAATCATATAATAATATTAATATATAAGCAATCGTGTATATCAAGGAATGCATATATGTATAATTTAATTATTTTCATATGCATTCTTATGCTACGATAATAATATACAACGCACACATACATACATCACACGCGCACACACAAAGTACTGCTGAAAAGTTATCGGCATAACCAAGAATTTCTCAAAAAAGAAAATCCACGCACATATATCTAAAATTTGGAAACTAGCTAGGATTCCTATTCTAAATAATTTCTTCATCTATCTATCTATCTATCTATCTATCTCAATCATCTATCAATCAGTTCTCTTTCTCTCTTTATTTCTATCTATCTATCTATCTATCTATCGCAATCAGTTCATCTTTCTTTTGTCTCTCTCTTTTATATCTATCTATCTCTATCTATCTATCTATCTATCTATATATATATATATATATATATATATATATATATATATATATATATATATATATATAGATAGATAGATAGATAGATAGATAGATAGATAGATAGATAGATAGATAGATAGATATATAAATTTAATTTAATTTAAATGATGACTAGAGTTACCAATAAAAACTCAGATTTCTCAATCTGGAAGAAAATTAGATCTAAAATTAAAATAAGTCTAAAATATTAGTTTACAAACTATTACTTTAAAAAGTGCATATTTATAGTAATGTTACCAATTTAGTGAGTACCGACAATGAAACATTTCAAACATTTCAAAAGAAAATTGTTTTCATTTCATTTTAAATCAACTAACAATAGCATTTAATTTCCGAATTTTTCTATCATTTATATTCCAACCATTTTTCTTAGCGGATTCTTTTCTAGTTTCTCATTTTGATGAAGAAACCAAGGAGAACTTCCATCAAATAATATCTACTTAAAAAAAGACGGAATCTTTATTTTCAAATTACAACCGTGACCCCTAAAAATCAATTCCCTTTTTAACGGAGACCTCATGATCAAAATAAGTTCATTATGAACGCAGTATACCTGGACATCTAAAATTTCCCGTAAAATGTGATACTTGCTTCTTTCAGCTTTTTGTTCAATTTATCTTCCTGCTGATGAGCGGGAATGTGAACTTTGGTCAAGTTTTTACATTATGTGTAAACTATTTATAAACGAAAAACTAAATCTATTTATTTCGCTAAAAGTATTACAGGAAAATGAAATTTTGCAAAGTCAAGAATCAGTCACCATGTAAAAATCATCGAAAATTTGCTTATATTTTCAATATTTTTTTTATTATTTATCTGAATGAATTTTTCACAAATATTCGGAGACTGTATGTGATGAAAAAGTTGCAAAAAATACTAAAACTAATAAAATCTTTAGTTTTGGTAAAATTATCCGAAAGGTATAAGTTTGTAGTAAAATGTTTAAACTTCGGCTTGTGGTTAAAAAAAAAATAAGAGAAATAAAATACTTTTTAAATAAAATAGTTTTTGTTCTCTCACTAGACATTCAAGCTACAGTAAGGCGATTCTGAGAGAATTAGAAGTCCTACCAGGATTCGTTATTGGTGGCCAAAATCTTAACATAATGTGCATATGACACAGTGCTGTTAGCAAATACAGAAAGGAAACTACAAAAACTCCTACAGAAGGTAGTGAAGAAAAGCGAGAAGAAAGGACTAAGCATCAATTACAAGAAGAATGCATGAATCAAACCAACATGCAAATTAATTACAAATTGGAGTTACTGAAATCAAACAAGTACAACAATTTAAATATCCGGGAAGTGTTTAACAGCGGACGGAAAATTCGACACTGAAGAAATCTGAAGGCGCATCGAGATAGCGATGCCTTTCAAAAGCTAAGCAAAGTATTAAGAAACAGAAACATTTCGATAGAAACAAAGAAAAGATTACTAAACCGTTATGTAATATCAGTTCACCTATATGGCAGTGAATGTTGGGCACTTTCCTCACAGATGAAGTAAAGACTTGAAGCAACAGAACTGTGGTTCTAGAGATGGATACTGAGAATACTATGGACTGAACATGTGAGCAATGGCGAAGTTTTAAAAGAAAATGGAAACAAAAAGGGGAACTTTCATGAAGAAACAGTTGAAATTTTTAGGGCACATAATGAGGAAAGAGAGCTTTAAAAATTTGATACCCACCACAGAACAGTTTGAAAACAAGCGAGACAAGGAAAACAATGCATAACCTACCCAGAAAGATTGAGTAAATTGATGACGGGGCAAGGCTTAAGAAAAATAACAAAATACAACACTTATTAAGAGCTACAAAGGACAGGAAATTGTGGAGAATCATGAACACCTATGTCCTGAAGGGACATAGCACATAGAAGAAGATTTTTAATAGATGGAATGAGCAAATATGTAACATATTTGAATAAAATGTTTTATTTAATTCATTGTAAAGAAATAAATAAGTGTTGTTTTGTGAAGTTGGTGACATAGTAATTGTGAGTTCAAAACATGGGCCGAGCAGTGTATACTTGGACCCAGTGGAAACGGACGAGCAATAACTGAGCTGTACTAAAATAGGAACGGAACTAGACTATATACTTCTAGACAAGGGCAGTGAGACGAAAACCATCTACCCCATCCCAGATTAAATATAAAGGGTTCATCTTTCATCTTCATTCCTTGTAGATTACCTGGGTCGCCATACACCTGATGAAGTCGGAGGCACAACGGCCGAAACGTTGTGATAGCAGCAACAAAAATGAGGATAATAGTCCGCATATGAATAATTTAAATAATGAACTGCTCATCTCAGAGATTCAAACAAAAATAATTATAATGAAGTTGGCGATAGAAGACGTAGTCGTCTATCGGAATAAATAAAATTTTAATTACTTATTAAAAATATTACCTGTTTAATATGAAAATATTATCATTCATTTTTTTCTCTGATTTTTTCTAATACGAAGCTAAAGTTAAGCTATAACTTTAGCTTCGTGTTAACTCTTTCTTTTTTATTAACTTTTTTCTAATTCTATACCTTCTTCAATAGTCGTATATTTTCGTGACGTTTTCCCAGTTACCACGAATTATTTGGCAGAAAAGGGTTAATATTTATTTTATTCTATTATTTGTTAATAAAAAAAAAGTATTCAAATTCAATGGATTGATATTTTTGTTATTGCATTTTAAGGTCTGAAGAATAGACAGGTAACATTTTTTTAATAAATGGATTAAAAAAAAAAGATTGTCTTTCACTCCTCAAAATCAATTTAAAAAAAAAAGGAGTATTATTCTCTCATATTTCACTAATTTGTGTATCTGTTTTTATTACGCAAAAATTCATTCGTTCTTAAACAGGACAATGTAGGCATTTGTTTAATTAAGCCCTGGAGTAACCAAGGCATAATGATTCAATCAAGACATTCATTAAAATTTACATTTATTTTCAGTCTTTTTTTTTTTTTCTAATGTTTTGACATCACTACTATACATTTTTTATTTATTTTATTTAATTCTGTTTGTCGAACTGCCAAAAAAGCAGAGTGTTTCATTCAACTGCAAATTTCTATGAGGCGACGAATGAACTGATTTTTTTATAATTTACTTATCCTTACATCAATGGAAAAAAAAATCAACATTAAAGGCAAAGAAAATGACCCATGAATATGTTGATTTACCCCTACGTGACCAGATTTAAATATTTTTCTTTAGTTGCCAAGATGCAAGTCTGTCTGTTTTATTCTGAGATGCAGTTTATTTTTACAAATATTACAATACACTCGGTTAATTGACTTTATGTGCATAATCAGAAATTTTTGCTAAGTAAGTGGATTTTTTTAAAATTAATTACTACAAGTGAAAAATCCCAGTAGGTAATAATAATAATCTCCCGTGTAAACTACCAGTTAAATACTGATGAAAAAAATCCTATGACTGAAAATAAATAACAACAACAATCCTAACTACAATACTACCACTTACAATAGTACACTGGTATTTTTTAAATTTGTAGAAAACACATTTTTCAACCAGTTTTCTAAAGGCTATGTTTAAAAATGAAATCCGATTGAACAGCCGTAATCTATTTTGAACTTTAAGTTGAGTATTTGAGCAAATTATTTGCACTGAGGTAGACGCATTTTCTTCTTCGTCGTTATTAAATATTTATTTTATTGCCGATATTGACAAATAAAAGATAATGCTACGGTACTGAGGTTTGTTGTCACATGACACCAGATAAAAAAAAAAGTAGTGTGAAAGTTCAACATCATTCGTCATTCCAGCTGCAGCCCGAAGTCACATAGTTCGAATAATGAATCTGATGAAAAATCGAAGCTATTAAAACGACAGCATAAGAAAATAAATTCAAGTAAAAAAAAAAATTACAAACAAGAAACAAAAACAATGAGAGAATGATGAAGAATGGACACTTACTGTCACTTCATCACCAGTGAAAACCACTAGTAGTTACTTCTGGTGTGAGTAAAATAAACACATTAATTAACAACAACAATAATAATAATTAATAATAATGATGATGATGATGAATGATAAATAAAATAATAATAATAACTATGTGGTTTGTACCTCTTACTCACAACTACTACTAATAATTTAATATTACTAATACTCTGCTACTACTATTAATAATAATAATAATAATTTGTATAGAACATCAACAAAATATGTGTGTACAATGAAAGGGCCAGAAAATCGAAGTTCAACAAATAAATGATAACCAATATTTATAATTCTTTGACACATCCTATCGTGACTAATTAAAACTTAAAAGTAAAACCTAGAAGCGGGCATCTTGTATTTCACAAGTTAAGGCTTAAGGCGGTCAATTTATATTTTATATTATAAGCAATGCCGATCCTTTTTTAATTTGTAATACAGTCTAGCTAGAAATAGTTACAACGATGACAACAATAAAGACACAGACACGTCGTAAGTTATTAAAAAAAAAAATTGGCTGACATGGTAACACTTGTGCTTGCCTTTTTATAGTCTAATCAGTTTGAATAAAGCAGGGTTGGGGGCAGACCAAGAAGAATTATACACTAATCTATCATTTCAAGGTAGACTGCTTTTTGAAAAAGTCACCTTTTTAGCCAATTAAATATGGTAACCCGGACCGTAAAAGATAGATTCTTTACACTTTTCCACTTGTCATTGCCCAACAAAAAAAAAAAAGATGAAAAAGGCGACATATACGTGTGTGTGTGTGTGTGTACGTGTACGTGTGTGTGTGTGTGTACGTGTGTGTTAGGCATGTGTACAATAAAAAAGAGTATTGTGAATGACATGAAAAAATAAAACTATATATAAAATATATAATGTCTTTTCTTTGCCTTTAATGTTGGGATGAAATGTCTTTTTTACTAAAATTATTCAATATTCACAGATGCCTAAATTATTTTTACTATAATAATAATAATAATAATAGTAGTAGTAGTAGTAGTAGTATTTGTTCGTTGCCTCTGATAATGCTAGATTAGTCAAGTGACATCAAGTCACCCACACCTTTCTTAATATCTTCATTGTCATTCGCAATACATTTCAAAATTCGCATTATTAAAAACTTCCTGAGAGAGATCCAAGTTATCTCTGCCCCCGACGATGGTGATGAAAATAATTCCTCTATTTTTCTGTCTTTGTTATTACTACTACTACTATTATTATTATTATTATTATTATTATTATTATTATTATTATTTTCTTTGAGTTTTTGTTGTATACACATTTCCTTCCGGGACCCAACCAGTGACCTAAGATCAGAAATGTATTCATGACAACTTCCACTGATCATTTTTTGTAAAAAAGAACAAAAATCTAAGATCACACACATTTTACATAGATAAAGTTCTTCGTAATATTTGAGATGTACTTGTGAGTGCAATTATTGTTGTTATTATCATTATTATTATTATTTCATGCTTTTTCATATTAATGTTCACATCAGATGCTTGATGATTATCGCTGCAGATTAAGTCACAGTATGTCTCTTCAAATCTCCTGTATTTTTAAGACCCCCCCCCTCACACACACTATTTTGGGGGCACGGTTCCAAATGCTCTAAATATTATGGACATGACTTTGACCTTCATGTGTCACAATCTTTTCAGTTCTTAAGCGAAGTCCTTTTTTTCTCTTAATTTTTCGCTTCCTTTTGTCTTCACCCTCTGGTCTGCTGGTACATCTCTCTAAGAATTGGCAGATTATCATTATTCTTGCTTTGAAGGGGATGGTCGGTCTGGATGTCAAATCCCTAGTGCATCTGATTCTTTTAATTTTCTACGACTGGTTTGTAATGATAACACTTGTTTATGTGGTCGAACTCAAGTTATTTGCACAGTTTTATCTGTTCATACCCTGTCATGTTTGTTTTTAGAATAGTTTTTAGCTAGTTTCCTACATTCAATTATCATTTCGTTTACTGTTTCATTTTTTCTTTAGTTATTATTATTATTCCATGGGTTTATTCACATCAGGTGGTCATCGCTGGGAATCAAGTGACAGCAAGACTCTTGAAACATTTCCTTCTAAGAATTATTATCAAGTTTAGTATTCTCTGGATTTTCCTTTGGATTTCCAGATCCTCTATTTTGCAATGTTCTTTAGTATTGTTCCGTTCCTAGTGCACCAGTGCTTACCGGCACTACTTTTACTTTTATGTTAGATCTTGCTATTTTGCTTCATTGTTATTATTATTATTATTAGCAATCATTCACTAAAAGTTGTGATACATATATAATTTTGTTTCTTTACTTTTTATCTTGAGAATAAAAACTACTCCATACATCATTTTTGCCTGTACCTAGTTCAGCAGAACGAATATAATATCATCCATTTTTTCAGTCCACTACAAGACACAGGCCTTCCCTATGTTTATTAAGTATGTATGTATGTATGTATGTATACGTCAAAGTTTATCCATGCATAGTTAAGTGGTATTATACTTTTCCTGTCGACTCTTGACTTAGAAGTGTCATCGAAATTATTGGTAATCACACTGTGTCGAGTTTGTCCCCCACTTTTTTTTTTACCCTCATTCAGCTGTCACCATCAATTCATTCTTTCTATTCATCTTTCTCACCTGTACAGGTACTGTTTTAAAAGAAGGTGGGAAGGTGTGTGTTACACTTATTTTTTACATACCCACACACATCTCCAATGTGACTTTAAAAATGGGTAAGACAAATTTAAAAAGAGACTACAACACCAGTATTTTTATCATGATTAATCTTTTACTTAGGGCTATTTTCTAATGCAGCTATTTTTATGACGTCATGAATTCAGTGAATCACTAAAAAAGGTCAATTTGAATTTTTTTTTTATTAAATCATAAAGTGGCTCTTAAAAATACAAACAAAAATGTTTTTTTTTTTATGAAAAGGGCCGATTAATCCGAGATTTAAATTTTAAAATGTTATAGGATTCAAAAATATTTGTTTCCACTATTTACTTTTTTACGCCAAAAAATTAAAAATGACATGATTAATGTTTGTCCAATGACTAAAGAATGATAAAATCAAGGTAGTGTATAATTGTATATATATAATTTTACAAGTGTCATTGCAAATATTTTTAAGAAAAAGCTGAAAGCTAATATGAAAAATTCAACAGCATAAAGCATACATACATACACGCACACACAAACGTAAGCACACATACACAATTCACACGCACACATACACCCATGAACACAGACATTATTGCATGCATATATGCCGCATTTTTCACAAATATATAAAGTAATAAATAGGTCATGAGGATAAACAGCAATAGCATATATTCAAAGTATATATATATATATATATATATATATATATATATATATATATAAGAGAGATAGAGAGAGAGGGAGAATTAATATGAAAAGTTTGTTTTTTTCACTTAACTCATGTTCATTTCATTATTTTTCCATATTAATTCTATTAACGCTCTATCTCTATCTTCGGTATTGAGCACTCTTCTACAAAGCCTGCTTTCCTTAATAAAATGCCTCCGTATCAACAAACCACTGAAAAACCAGCAATTTTGGCTTCAAAAATAGTCTTTTAAATTAATACTATACGTGTGTGTGTGTGTGTATGTGTGTGTGTGTGCACGCACGTATAAATATGGCCTAAAGTTTGCATTAAAAAGCAAGAAACAGACTGTCGCCGCTTGGTGTTGATCTCAGTGTCCACTTCTATACTTACATACGCTCTCTATCCATATTAACCACTTTCTTAGCCCATAAATATAGCACACCTTTAAAACTATATTTTTTATCACACACACACACACATCAATACAGAATATATTTTTTAACCATAATGCTTTTAAAACTATTTTGCATATTGCCACGTAAAAAGAGCGTAGATATGGGATTGTTAATTTAAGTGTCAGCTATAATCCATGGGCCCCTCGGCACGGGGAAATGGGTAAAAAACATTCGTCTTGTCTGGTTGATCTCTAATACTGGTTAGAGAGTTCGATCCTCATGGCTTTCCCATAATTGGTGTTTTGTGCCAAAACTAAACTTTTATTGAGTTTAATAAATAAAATCTGTGCATAAATGCGTGTGCGGGCGCGTACACATACATTTGTTTAACTTTGGTACAAGGCCTCAAGTATATGGGGGGACCCAATGAAAATCGACCTCAATACTAATGATTAATCTGACTAGTTTGTTAAGCAATAATTCTCACTCTCTCTCTCTCTCTCTCTCTCTCTCTCTCTTGTTAAAAATCATTTTTTACGTTCCGCGAGATTTCGCTTGCTAACCATTACTACGCTAATTTTAGGTGAGTGAGGCACAAGGCCATTAGTGTGGAGCACCCAATAAGTAACTTCGCCTACTACTCATACATCACTTAACTTCATGATCTTAACCCTAGTTTTATTTTTATGTATGTGTGTGTGTGTCCTTGTTACATACCACATCTCTTATTTATAACTTTTTCATTTTTCAGTAACAAAAGAGAGGAAGTGGTGGAGACCTGCAATTACTCACGTCCTGAAGGGACATGGCACATAGAAAAACATTAGATTAAAAAAAACAATATCTAATCCTCTCTGATATGTGAGCGATGCAAGAGATCTACCTTGTTGAAAATGAAGACTAAGATCTTGTACTTATGCCAATTTTCTCTAGAATATTTTACCATTTTTTGAAGCAGACTGTTAAATTTTATTTTAAAATTTCATTCAAATTAATAACTACTGAACTGCTATGTATTGTCTATAGACAAATCATACATAACTTACTAACACTAACTGTGACTATTTTTTATCCATGATAGTTTTTGATCCAGGATTAAAAAGTAAATTTCAAAAGTCGAAAATACCCTTTTCCCATGGTTCTGCGGTTGGGGAAAGGATAGTGTTTAGTTTAAGCAAACTTTAAACTAATTAATTAAAGTCATTAAAATCTGTGAAAAAAAAAATTAAAAATGAGTGAATTTCGCTTGAACAATTGATACAATTATTAAATTGTTTTGTGAAGTCTACGGTTAAAGTAATAATCTATAAATTAAAATATTAAATTATTATATTTTAATTTTACCAAACAAAAAAAAACCGTAGATTTTATGCAGTATCCAATTATTTTCCACCAATATGTAAAATAAATACTGAGTTTTCACACCAGTGATAGCGATTTGTTTTCCCTGGGAATCAAGTGACACCAAGTCTCCTCTTAATAATCTCGCTCTCTTCTTCTTAATATTATTATAAGCAGTTAGCTTTATATATATATATATATATATATATATATATATATATATATATGTAGAGAGAGAGAGAGAGAGAGAGAGAGAGATTGCTTACACTACGTAGTCATATAGGCTAAAACTTGCAGACAACAGGATTTAACGGTTCTATTCACAATGTATTGTAGTGTAATAAACGTTACAACATGTTTTATGACTCTGTGTTTGCAAAAACACTCAGACTCCCTCATATCAGTAATGAATGAATCGCTATGAATGTGATATACCGAGAAAGTTTAACACGAAAATGACAGAACTATGCTCGTCTAATAATGCTCGATATCATAAAATTCGGCTGAGAGAAAGAAATCGCTGTAATT